TCAGAAGCAGGCATACCATTTTCGAATGTGTCATAAACAGTTGTCCGGAGGGCAAGACTGATCCTTGTAAGCGATGTCCTCTACGAACCTGGGTGTGAAATATTCTCCCAGGGCCAAGTTCAGTCAAATTTCGCAATACCGAACAAGTTGGCTCACGAGACAATGATTCAAAATACTCCACCACGTCAATCTTTCACCCCCAACGAAATCGATTCATACCTGTTGGAAATATCACGCAATGAAATGGGCGCAATACCCATGGAACGAAAGTAGAAGTTGACTAAAAGAGTGTCATGTTCGGATTTCTTCTAAAAGTGTGGGAGGTGTGCGCTACAAGTACAAGTGTAAGCGGCACGTAGCCTAAGCCACAGCATAAACGAGTGTGGCGCCATCTAGGCATAGAAAACCCCCCATTAACCTCCTTGCGCCCACGCCATACAGCCGCTCATATATGCAATAGGTAGCCTGAAGCGTTACCATATTACCTATTCCAACCTCTTAAATACACAAAAGATCGTGTCGTGAACCTAGACGAAATGGAGGGCCCGTACGTCAACAACACTTCGTGTCTCCGTTTCCAACACTACCTAAGCCTCATCAAGCCTACAAATACGACCAAGTACATCCTCACTCCAATGACCTCACCTCCAATCGACTTTCTCTGACCTCAGCTGGTCACCAGATACATGCCCACGCCGATATTTACACCCGATGGAGGAAGCAAAGCGTGGCGCACAAATCTGAGAGATAGCTCTTTGGGATGGACGTGAGAGGGATCAGGACAAGTTCACAAGATGATGCAGAAGAGGGATACGTTTTCGACGGGCGTGCAATTTCGAATTTTGGCATGGAGTTTTACGAATTGAGCTTTGTGCGCGCCAAGACTTTGCTTGCGAGAGTAAAGGCGACACAGTAAATACCGCCATGGCTGGATGGTGCGGTGGTACATCGTCTTGGCCGGTCTGCCAAGTATAGTCTGAGTAGCCTGGGCATCTACTCCACTTGAGACAGTAGATCGCTGGTTCAAATCCAGCAAAACACTACCACGTTTCTCGCGGCGCTAGTATACATGGATGACGAAGGCATGCTTGGATAACCCAAGGTTTTGAAACGTCCCTTTGGTGGGCACTTACGGAGGAGAGTCGACTGTTTGTGTCAGAAAGCATACCTCGTAGTGGTATTTGCGAATGAAATCCAGAGTATGAGTGTCTCTAACGTCAAAATAGTCATCCCACATGTATACATAGCACCGGTCATGTGTCATAGTTTTATAGCTGAATACACATCAAATGATTAAAAAAATAAAAAGAGGTTTCTTGAGTGTACTAGATGTTTATCGGTAACAGGGTGTGTGATTATCACAAAGTTGTGGGTTGTGCAATAATTATTCAGTGTCTCGTGGCTCCTGACTATAATTTGATGTGGTAAAGCTTGAGACTAGATTGTGTGCCCCTTCAACAAGATCTATGCTATGATTAAGTACACTCCTAAACTCCTCGCCACCTTTTACATATCGTGCGCCATCCCTGAATACTATTTGCCTCCTTACTCAGCACTGATAGTTGCTACTGTTTCCTAGCATGTAACTCTGTCTCACTTATCTTAGCGTAGGCCTGATCATGCCTCTGGCTTACTTCAACGACTAGGATTCTTGGGATCCACACATATTTATTAGGTCGGTGCTAAGTTACGCTTGTATTGGAAGTCTAAAACTGTCCATGCTCGAAACATTGTTGGTAACTAGCCCACACCTGGATAATGGAAGCCTAACTGCAGGACAGCTACTAGCGTTTAAAATATCAAAATCTGCTAGAATTTAGAAAAATTGTGGCTATCAATTGGGCCACGTTGCTGATATACAAGTGACTAGAAATTCTGTACTATGCTTCACTTTGGTAGTTAATTGAATCAATGCGCTCTACAACCTCAAGGACTGTTGGGTCATTATTTCCTTGTAGAATCCTTTTTTCCTTTGCATCAGATTTTAATTACATATGCAGATATCTAGCTGTGAAATAATACCAAAGAAAAGTACAGAATAGATGATTCAACATAAAGGAAGAGCACTCATGCCTCAGGTTTCATTTGCAAGTACCACTGCGAAGTTATGGAGGCTTTTCCTTTACCCCGAGTCAACCCTCATGCGTGGATACCCACCCAGGGAAATATCTCAAAGGTCCTGAGTTATCCAGATAAGCCTCCATCACCCACTGATTTCTCTCCGCGCGAAATGTGGTTTGATGTGACTCCATTTCAAGTGAAGTAGGTGCCCAGGCTACTTAGACTATACCGGAGAACACCACCAGGAGGCGCACCACAATACCTTCCATAGTTGGCTTGTGTTTATAGTGTTGCCTGCACTCTCGCAGCCGGTGACTTGGCACGCACAAAGCTCAATTTGTAAAAACTCCTGGCCAAATTTCGGAATTTCACGCCCTTCGAGGTAATATCCTTCCTTTGCATCACCTTGTCAACTTATCCTGATAACTCTCACGTCCATCCCAAAGAACTGTCTCCCAGATTTGTGCGCTACGCTTTGCTTCCTCCGTCGGGTGTAAATATCGGCGTGGGCGTGTATTTGGTGGTCAACTGAGGCCAGAGAAGGTTGGAGAGAGGTGTGGTCTTTTTTTTTTAATCATTTAATGTGTATTCAGCTATATAGCTATGACACATGACCGGTACTGCGTATACATGTTGGATGACTCTTTTGACATTGAGAAGTGTGGTCATAGGGATAAGGATGTACTTGGTCGTACTTGCAGACTTGATGAGGCTTAGGTAGGCGTTAAACTCGATGGGAGCGGAAAAACGACGTGGTGGAGTAATTTTAAATTTTGCCGCGTGGGCCAACTTCTTTGATATTGCGAAATTTGACTGAACTTGGCTCTGGGAGAATATTTTACTCCCAGGTTCGTAGAGGACATCGTGTACAGGTGTTCAGTCTTGCCCTCCAGCCTCAATTATTGCTGTGTCGTAGCTTAGCCCAACTTATTTTGTGCCGTACAGGGCGCTGGGGAGTGCCATTGGCTCATCGACAATAGAAGCCCTCCTGGAAAATTAACCGAAATCTCGGTCTTGGCGCCCACAAACATTGCAAGGTTAGTTACCCTGATGAGTTCTATTATACACAGATGCAAATTACAATCTTTATCATCTGTCCCCTAGTAGAGAATTATCTCATCACCTTTGTCTAATTTTTTCTCCTCTCTATAAATTATGAGTCATTGAGCTAAAGCAGGAGATGCTTTCTAACAGTGACCCAAACTTTGAAAGATGATTTGACTTTGATACAATAAATCTTAATTGCTTTTGTTCCACGATTATGGCACTCCAGACGCTCCATCGCCCAGAACTTTACAGCCTATGCCAGCCTTAGTTTTGTAGATTTACGATTATTGATTATTGATTAAATCTAGCTTTCAATTTCACTTTGATTTAGTAAGACGTAAAAGACGTTCGCGAAGTGATATTAATGCGTCACAAAACTTGTGCAGTGCAATTGAGTCACCAAAATAATGCGAGCTCCGAACTTCTCCGGTGCGATCGCCATTCTGAATGCCATGTCTGTCTCTAAACTCTCGGTACTAGTGCACTCAGCGAAGGAACAAGGCTCCGAGCTGAATGTTAGCCAAAGGTGCATCGCTACTTTTCCACTTTCGGTTGAGCCAAGCAACTACAGGAAAAGATCGCTAATCTTCGCAACGGCGGACATGGACATGATTAAAATCTGATGCAAAAAGAATAAAAAAATGGACATGGACATGCAGGTGGCAATTGGTATCCGTTTTTATTTTTCTCTCAGGAAAAGACATTATAACTAATACGGATATGTCCTTCGTGGACGCCAGTCACCTTTCCACCTCAGCTACTCAAACAGCCATACAAGTCTTGGTTGACTACAGTTCCTTACCAGTTTAATCCGAACGTACGAGGGGATAAACTACTGGCATAAGTATTCTTGGCCCGTAGGTAGAGAGAATTTGCATTTCCTACACAGTCATAGACTCAGAAAGGACAATAAAATGAAAAAAAAATTAAAACTCTATCACACGGTCATTCAGGTTTGTGCATCAATTTGTTCTTGTTATTGTCAGGCAATACCTGCAAGTAGCCTGGAGCTTGTCTTATACTCACTGCCCATCAGGGCCAAGGTAGAATAGCTCGACTGGAGTGGTTTAGAAACTAGTTGATTAACTTTAGTCTACCTCATGGAGTCGGTACATCAAGCATGCCGATTGGATCCTGGACAGAACTTTTTCCTCGTTCGGGATAAATCTAAGACTCCCCACAATCTGGGCTATCTACAGCTGATGTGCAGCGCCGCCCTAGCAATTTCAGTCGGCAGTTATCTTCATTCTACGACTATGCTAATCCAACAAGTGACTTCTTTCGGAAATATTATGAGGCGTTAAATGAATAAGCAGATGCCCACAGCTTGGAAGAATTGAGCTGTTCTCATCCCACGAAAGGCCACACGGAATTTTGAGATGGGATCATGATCAATCTCGAAAAGACACGACGTATTTAAAGCTTGTATCGTGTGAATGTATAATATGCGGCCACGTTAGCGTAGATTCAAGCTTTGTTCAAAACTTTTCACTAGAACCAGAGTCTAACTGTACGTGAAGTAGCTCCTCCCAGCCAATTATCAGATCCAATAATGCCATGGTAAATCCAAGATCATAGTCTTTGAAGATCAACTAGTCCTTTTCAGGATACCATGGAATGCGGAAAAATGATGCTAATGGGATCTATGGAGAGAGTGTGGGTCTAGATCTACAAGATTAAAGCTCTGCAGGGCAGCAAAGAGAATTCAATAAACTATCATCAGGATTCACTGGCTACCATAAGTAATCATAACTGGTTGATCCATGCTGACTGGAATTGAATTTGATAGTAAAAAATTTCATGAATGTATGCAACACTGGAATATATAAAGGCTGCTCCCGCCCAAGGATTACAAGACAAAATAATCTTATTGTATCTATCAATCAGCAAACATGAAGTTTCCAATCAGTCTCGCGACACTTGCAACTAGCACTGTAGCACTAGCCTACTGTGTACCGCCCTTAACGCTACCAACGACACCTGAAGGACAAGAGATATTCTCAAATGATCTTAAAATTCCGGGCCCAAACTATATGCAATACTGTTCAAGCGAGTTTAAAGAAGGTCCTATTCTTCTCACCGACGTCATGATAAACCCAAGTATACCATTGCTGTAAGACGAGATGCAATGACATTATCTTCCCTTGTAACTAACCATGAAACAGCACCCAAATGAATTATGTTGACATGTCTGGTTTTCTCGGTGTTCCTCTGAGCCACGGGGCTAAATTTCGGATTTATGACATACTCACTGGACGAGATCTCTCGGAATCAGTTGACCTTTTCAAGTATATGAACAGTATCGGGGTTGAAGTCCCTACCAAAGTTGGACATTTTCATCTCAGCTTTCCTTTTAAACCTCAATTTCCCAAATATTATGTGAGTTTTGCAATTCCTTCTGCCTCAACATGTGGCTAATTCAACTTTAGTCCTTTCAGATTGGTATCGAGTTATATAACTCGGAAGGAACTAAGCTTCTATGTGTTCAGACCCCCGTCCAGTTCGTTTAAAAAGAGAGAAGGCAACTATTCAGTTGGGCCTTGTTATAAAGAAGAAACCCTTTAACCCACTCTGATTATAAGAGGGATAGGAAATTTATTGACATGAAAAATTATCAAAATCTCAAGTAAATATCAGTGGTCACGTGACTTGAATAGAAATTATTTTCCAAATGGAGTTTATCAATTGCCTTTCCCTGATTTGTTCTAGTGCGAGATAACATTTGTAATGGAACGACTAATCCCAACGCATGGGACTCAATGCCACAATCCTGCCACTACAACAGTAAAACCGACTATCCCGTGACGTTATTCGCGAACCAAAAATAAATTCTAGTCACGATCAAGGAGATAAACTTGTTTCAAGCGTGAAACAGTAATTCCGCAATCCATTCAAATTTGTGCAAACTATCTACACGGAGTAACCACCAACTCCATGTTCGCTCTCAAGCTTGCTTCCGATAAGCATAAGGTGTGGTAATCTTTAATGGTATAAAGATTGAATCGCTACGCCGTCGGTTTTTGTTTAACACGTTGGCAGAGATAACCCCGTAACACACTACTCATCTAAGATAAGAGCAATCATGCCTCAAATTTCTTGAAAGTACCAATGCGAAATTTTGAAGGGTTTTCCTTTACCTCTAGTCAGCCCTCATCCATGGAAATGTCACAAAAACCCTGAGTTACCCACACACATCTCTAAAACATGTTCTCTTTCCCGCGCGAAATTAAGTCTGAGATATTTCCTTCCCAAGTGAAGTAGGTACCCAGGCTATTCAAACTATGCCAGAGAACACCACCAGGAGGCGGACTACTACCCCTTGCATTGTTTGCTTGTTTTATAGTGTCTGTTGCACTCTCGCAAGCAAAGTCTTGGCGCGCACAAAGTTCAATTTATAATATCCTTTGCCAAAATCCGAAATTTCATGCCCGTCGAGAATGTGTCCACCCTTTGCACTATCTTGTAAACTTGGCCTAATCCCTCTCACGTCTATCCTAAAGAACGGTCTCCCAGATTTGTGCACCACGCTTTGCTTCCTCCGTCGGTTGGAAATATCGGCGTGGGCGTATATTTGGTGACCAGCTGAGGCCAGAGAAAGTCGAAGATAGGTGTGGTTATAGGGATGAGGATGTACCAGGTCGTACTGGTAGACTTGATGAGGCTTAGGTAGGATTTGAACTCTTTGGGAATGAAAAATTGATGTTGTGGAGTAATTTGAATCATTGCCTCTTGGGCCAACTTCTTTGACATTGCGAAATTTGACTGAACTTGGCTCTGGGAGAATATTGCACACCCAGGTTTGAAGAGGACACCGCGTACAGGTTTTCAGTTTTGCCCTCCAATGTTACGGGATGCGAATGGTATCTTATCGTGTTATAATGCTACCGGTTATCTACAAGATAATTAACTAATCCAACATACTTTCAGATAGCGCCGTAGCTATGTGGATCCTAAACGTAGCAGGCTACGTTATGTAACATAGACTACTAAATGCGGTTAGCCTATAATTAGTAAGCTACGCACAAAGTGTAGATTTCGGAGTTGGGAGTTAGGAGGAAATATAGACAAATTTATTAGAACTCAAGCCTAACTGTTGCATTCTGCGGAACTAGCTGTAGTAGAGCCACGAGTCATATTTGTCACCATCCTGTTTCAATTGTGATCGATCGAAATCCACAGCTAGTATATTTTAGGAGTGATCTACGGGTGAGTGTAGCGATCGGTGGTATCTAATTTATCACTATCCTGTTTCCATTTCCCTGGCTCTGCATGCTACGCTACGGGGATGACGATTTACTGCTAATGTGAAAAGCGCATTCATGACATACCCAACCTGAAATTAGAACCCCTCACGAACTAATGACTGGCTCGACTCACGTAGTTTTACATTTAAGAGTATGGGGATGTCTCTGCTATGTTCTAATTCTGTCAGAATCTCTTGGGACTTGGTTACTTAACTTGAACAGGTAGTGTTACGGTTTGACCGCTATTAGAGCTTAGGTGAATACCTAAGCGGATTGTTGGGAATATTTACAACTAGGCAGCACTACTAGTCAGGAGGTCGAAGCGTTACTACAACTAAGTAACACCTGGCAATGCGTGGCTGGGTAGCAAGTATTGTGCCTAAGGATAAGTCATCAGTCTGGAGATTGAAGAAGGGGACCAATTCTTATAAATACCTGTTAGTCGTAGCTAGAGTTCTCTTTTCTCCTCATATAGTTTAATAAATCGATTTATTCACAACCAACTCGGTTTCCGTCACAGGTAGACGGTAAATCTTGGATTCTTGATGTTAAAGAAAATATGACAACGACAAAGACTCGATTCTTGATTCTTGGGTATCTAGGGAATAATACAAGAATCAAGAATCAAGAACCGAGTCTTTGTTAATATCATATTTTCTTTACCATCAAGAATCCAAGATTTACTGCCTACCTGTTCAAGTTAAGTAACCAAATCCCAAGAGATTCTGACATTACTGAAAGCTCTACAACAAATTTTTGAAATCATGTCTTTGAGTCCAGGAAATCAAGAAAAACTAGGCCAGGATCAATAGATTTTGGAACAAATTGCCGGAATTTCAGTTGTGTCGCAATTTGGTAGAGGGGTTCAGACCGACCCAGCAGTTGTAATTGATGCAATTAAGGCATTGAAATTAAGGAATGAAGAAGCCGAAGCGGAACTCAAATCGGCCAGGCGACGAATCAAGAAGCTTGAAAAGAAACCATCGAGCCGGAGAAATGTGAACGGTCAATCAATGAATGAGGACTTGATATCGCGACAAGTGGTTGCCTTAGAAGGTCGAAATACATCGAGGTTAGCATTACTGCCGGATGCTCATATTTTCAGTGGTACCAGGAAAGATTTTTACAACTTGAAAGAGTTAGTAATGATGAAAATTAAGGGGAACCTAGACCAGTACCCGACGAAACAGTCCAGAATGATTTATGTCTATTCACGAATGAATTGAGAAAGTCGCACACATTTGCAGAATTGGGTTCAGGATGGATCATTACTTTTTGCAACTCTCGCTCACATGATGGATCAGTTGACAGTTATCTTTGGCGATTCTCACAGAGCGCGTGATTAAATGGGTCCTCAGCACGCCTAAAGGGGCACACGCCTTCGGAAAATGGGTGGAGCTCAACATACACAACGCACAAAGTCTCTCATCTCACAGCATATTCTCATTTGTAGATTGTACTGTAAAGACCCTTCCGTTCTGGCTCCGATCAGAAACAACCACAAAAACATCAAACCCCCCCTTACCACCCTTCACAAGTCGCGTCAAAAACCGACAACTGTAGCCAAACCGACACCAGAATCAAGCCGCATCCCGCGCTCAGCGCGCGCGAGAGCAGCCCTCCCGACTATGGAGGGTCTTACCCAATCTCAGGCGGTAGAAGCCATTCCCTTCTATAATCCAGCTCTTAGCGATTGGGACACACCCGGGAGCAGCCAGCAGCTTGACATGGAGATCGATCCAATTAATTACGACGATCAAATCGAATACGACGACCCCATAGACGACCCATTTTCAGAGCCAGCTCCCGCGGGCCCAATGCAAGACACTCTGACCAAGAGCGTAAACTCTTTGACAGCCCGAGCAAAAGAAGCAGAGACCCTTTTTGGAGGTATTTCTGCACTAATCGACAAGCATAGCAGCGCACCCAACTACGCTACACTACCCGCCAAGCAAGCTGAAGCATTCAAAAGCTTTTGCAATGATTTAGCTAAAGTCGCAGCACGGCATTTCGATGCTTACCTCTGTGACAAGCCAGTGACCGTCACCATCGACGCCGCCACGTCCAACCGCAATGCCCCAAAAACTGCGCAGACCTACGCAAATGCAGCTTCAAGGGCGTCCAATAAGCAATTCGCCGGTCGCCACACTCCAACCCTCCAAACACCCGCTAAAGCGCGGCTTCAGCTCAAGCCCACCCGCACTGATGATCGTTTATTTGTCCGTATCCCGGAAGGTAATACACTCCGAGATCACTCAGCATACGCGATACAATCCCACCTGAAAGCTAAGCTTGGCAATGAGGGTCAGATTCTTACAAATGTGCAGTCAACAAAGACTGGTTTCGCTCTCTGCCCCAAAGACGGAGACTCAGAAAATCTCATGGAAAAGATAAAGTCCGTTAGTTTCTTCGGGGACGCACCAGTTGAGAAAGCAACACCATGGACTTCCTACCGCATAAAAAATGTTCCCCGGACATATGGAGCCCTGGAACACATCAACGAAGAATGGAAGTACTGCCTTAAGCCCGTCACAGCTGAGGCGTTGAAGGATGCCCTAGCCACGGCAGCTGGAGCGGTACCTGTAGCTATTGCGGCTTCTCGCGACAATGATGCTAATCCAACGTCCTCATCGACGACATGGATCGTGCGTTTCCCAGAATCACATCAGCGCCTGCCACGAACCCTCTTCCTCCTTGGCTACCGCACGCAGACAAGAATTCTGCCCAAGCGTCAGATGGCTGCCCAGTGCACCCGGTGCTGGCTCTGGCACAATACACGCACATGTGCCTCCGACCTCAGATGCCGCCTTTGCGGATCCTCCAGACACTCCGAAAAAGACCATGCCAATCAATGCGGCGCTACGGGCCAACACATATGTCCCAACAGATGTATCCACTGTCATGGGCCCCATCCCGCGGACGATGTCAGCTGTCACCTCCGGCCTAAGCCCTCCGGTCCTCCAAAGACCAAGAATCAAGTAACTGCTATCCGCCAGATTAACGCAGACGCTCGCCTACGGAAACAAGCAGAAGCTGGCTGTATCAAGGCTACGGCCAGCCCCAAAACCCCGCGTACTACGGCCGCAACTCCAGCTGAAATAGGCCAAACCCAGCCGGTTTCAGTAAAATCCATCAACCCCTACGAAGTTCTACTCACAGGGGATCAGAGCAACGACCAAGCGCAATCGTAATGACCCCTTTACGGCGCCGCAAACATAACAATTGCCCATTAAAAATAGTATCTGCAAATGTCGGCCGCGGTGCCC